GACACCTGTTAAGAAAAGGGCAACACTTTTACTCCTGGGGGGTTCAGTGTTACAGGAAATCTATTATAATCTACCCGGAGCTTCTGTAGAACCAACTGAGGGCATTGACGTATTTAAAATTTCTATTCAGAAATTGGACGAATATTTCCTTCCTAAGCAAAGCTGCGTTTATGAACGTCATGTTTTCCGGCTTATCAAGCAGGAAGAAGCGGAGAGATTTGAAAAATTTCTTGTTCGATTGAGAAAACAAGCTACAAAATGCAAGTTTGATAAGGTTGACGATCATTTAATTGATCAGATAGCTGAAAAGTGTGCATCAGTAGAATTAAGGAAGAAAATACTAACCATTGGCGATGACATTACTCTCGAAAGAATTGTAACAGAAGCAAACACTTTGGAAGTGGTCAAACAACAACTAGACGACTACGAAGAAAAAACGAAAAGAATCGATATTAATCAGATAGGTAGCAAAGATGGAAAAATCACAAAGAAAACAGACAAGATGTGTGGCAGATGCGGAAATACAAAACACGATTCACAATATAGTCTATGTGTAGCAAAAAATCAGAAATGCCACTCGTGCGGTAAAATTGGACATTTTGCACGATGGTGCAGGAGTAGAAAAGATCAGAAAAGGAAGCTCGAAGATACAGAAAGTAAAACAAAAGGAGCAGATAAACCAAGTGATTCTAAGAAAGCGAGAAAAGATGGAAGAGTAAATTTTGTTGAAAAGGACGTTGAATATGTTTTTAATATTTACAATGATGATGAAACTTCTGTAAAGTGTATGATTGGAGGAGTAGTCGTGGACATGTTGGTTGACTCAGGATGTAAAGTTAATTTGATTTCTGATAAGACTTGGTATAGTTTGAAGAAACAAAATATAAAAGTATCCAATCAAATTCAAAAGCCTAATAAAAGACTAGTACCGTATGGAAGTGAAATACCTTTAAATGTTGCGGGATCATTTGAAGCAATAATAAGTACAGGAATTAAAGAAACAATAAGTACATTTTATGTTATTAACGGAGGAACAAGGGATTTGTTAGGAAAAGATTCAGCTGTGAAGTTAAATGTTTTGAAAATTGGATTGGGCATTAATCAAGTAGAGGCTAAAGAATTTCCAAAATTTAAAAATGTTTTAGTTGAGATTCCTATAGATGATACTATAAAACCTGTGGTTCAACCATACCGCAGGATACCTATACCACTTGAGCAAAAAGTAAATGAAAAAATTCAGGAACTGCTAGACTGGGATATAATCGAAGAAGTGTCACAACCATCAAGATGGGTTTCACCGGTCGTTCCAATTCTTAAAGAGAACGGAGAATTGCGCCTTTGTGTTGACATGAGACGAGCAAATGCCGCTATACTTAGGGAAAATCATCCCTTACCGACCATGGACAATTTACTCCCAAAGATTGGTAATGCTAAGTTCTTTACGAAAATTGATATTAAAAATGCATTTCACCAACTTGAACTGCATCCGGATTCCAGACATATCACTACATTTATAACATCGCGGGGGTTGTTCCAGTACAAGCGTTTGATGTTTGGAATAACGTGCGCCCCAGAAATATTCCAGAAGACCTTGGAAAGGATGATTATTCATTGTGAAGGAGCAGTCAATTTTATTGACGATATACTTATTTATGGAAGTACTGAGACGGAACATGACCGGCGCGTAGAACAAATACTGAAGGTATTAAATGAGAACAACGTGTTGCTAAATGAAAATAAATGTATTAGGAAAGTTCAAGTAGTTAATTTTCTAGGACATGAGTTAAGTGCAAATGGAGTCAAACCATTAAAGAAGTATATAGATAGCATCGACAATTTTGGGATTCCAAAAACGATTGAAGAATTACAGAGCTTTTTGGGTTTAATAAATTATATTAATAAATGGATACCTAACCTAGCAACAACTACAGAACCGTTAAAACAACTATTGCGGAAAAAATTAGGCAAAAATGCTGGGTTAGAGAAATATTGGAAGAAAGAACAGAAAGAAGCTTTTGACTTAGTAAAAAAGGACTTATCACAATTAAAGTCTCTTGGGTACTATAGCGTGAAAGATAAAATACAAGTGATTGCCGATGCCAGTCCGGTGGGCATTGGAGCAGTTTTGGTACAAATAAACTCTAGAGGTCCACGAATTATAGCCTATGGCAATAAAACGTTAACTGATTGCGAGCGAAGGTACAGTCAGACAGAGAAAGAAGCGCTAGCCTTGGTTTGGGCTGTTGAACATTTTAACATCTTCCTATATGGCAAAGAATTTGATCTGATAACCGATCATAAACCCTTAGAGGTTATATTTGGGCCAAGATCTAAACCCTGTGCTCGCGTGGAAAGATGGGTTTTGCGTTTGCAATCATATCGATACAAAATTAAATATCAATCTGGCAAATCAAACATTGCTGATCCACTGTCACGTCTTTGTCATCAAAATGCTACCTCTTATTTAGGAAAGGATCAGCATGTTTACCAAATTGTTGAACAAGCCAGACCAAAGGCTGTTTCCATGTACGATATTGTTGGACATTCGGTTAAGGATTTAGAAATCAAAAACGTGAAGAACGGTATCTATAAAAATATTTGGGATGATAACGTTAAAGCATACAAAATTTTTGAAAGTGAACTATGTTTCTATGATGATGTTCTTTTAAGAGGCAATCGCATAGTGATACCTGTTTCACTACGAAAGGAAGTGTTAGATTCTGCGCACGAAGGGCATCCTGGGATTGCAGCGATGAAAGGTCGACTAAGATCTAAAGTGTGGTGGCCACGAATAGATCGAGACGCGGAAAACGTTGTTAAGGGTTGTAAGGGATGCACCTTAGTAGGTGCACCAAATCCGCCAATGCCAATGAAAAGGCGTGAATTACCTTCAGCACCTTGGGTGGATGTAGCTATTGATCTTTTAGGTCCATTGCCCAGCAATGATTATCTTTTGGTGATTATTGACTACTACAGTCGATACAAAGAAATCAAAATCACAAAATCTATCATGAGTTCGCAGATTATCAAGATCCTTAAAGAAATTTTTAGTAGATTGGGCTATCCTGTCAGCATTACTGCTGATAACGGCCGCCAATTTATCAGCACCGAATTCAGATCATTCTTACAAGAATGTAACATTACCCTTTATAATACAGTTCCCTATTGGCCTCAGCAGAATGGAGAAGTTGAGAGGCAGAATCGCGATATTTTGAAAAGGTTGAAAATAGGACACATAGAAAAGAAGGATCTGAGAGAAAGTCTCTACGAATATCTTCTAATGTATAATGCTACTCCGCATTCAGTTACGGGAAAATCTCCTTCAGAGCTATTCTTCAAGAGACAGTGTCGAGATAAAATTCCATCAATAAGAGAAAGAGAACTTGAAGATGATTCTGAAGTTAGAGATAAAGATAAAGAGCAGAAGGAGAGAGGAAAGGAATATGGTGATAAGAAAAGGCGTGCAAAAGAAAGTCAACTAGTAGAAGGAGACAAAGTGTACGTCAAAGAAATGGAATCCAATAAATTAAGTTTAAATTACAACCCTACACCACATGTTGTGGAAAATCGTAGTGGTGGAGATGTGACAGTTAGGAATGAAGAGACTGGACAGACATTAAGACGAAACGTAGTACATTTAAAACGAGTTGAAGGCAAATGGACATCAATCACAGATAATGAAAATGAAGATATTGAGAATTTGTAATATTGTTTCACATATACATTGATGTAATTAATAAACAAGTGATTTAAATTAAAACAAAATCTTTTAATATGAAAAGGATGTAGTGTTTGTGGTAGTATCTATATACATATAGATACATGCCGTCTCGTGCGCATGACGCGCGGAGTGGACAGTTATTAGCACGAGAGCCGCGGGCGAGGGTGGACTGTGTCACTGCTGCGCGTGCATGTGTGATCGAGCCGGCGTATGCGTTATAGTATTACATTAGTTTACAGTAAGGGTCCTACACATATATTTAACGTGATAAAATATTTTATGCTGTAACGAGGTATGTAATCTCAATTTGACTTACGATTAGACTCATTATACAAATTGCATTGCACGTTTCTATAACCATATTAAATACTTTTTCTTTAATAACCGTCAGAGGAAGCAAAATGATCATAAAATGGATATGTTTTTGCAAAGGCTAGCCAGTTTCCAATCTACAACTATACAAAAATTAAGGCGTACCTACCCAATTTCTGATTACCCACTTTGGCACATTCTTATTGAAAATGTTAAAATATATGATAAAGAGAAGAAGAATTGGACCTTGAAGCTAGTTGCAGACCGAGAGTTAAGCTGAGGTAGGTAGTTAAGCTTAGTTTGCACACAGGTATGGAAAACTGCGTCGGCTTTGCGAACTAAGCTAACTTAGCTTAGCTCTTAGTTTGCGACCGGCTTGAGGCGATGAAACAGAAGGGTACAAGTAGAAATTAATTTGTAGCTTCGTGGGCTATTTTCGTAGATTGCATTATATTGTGCAAGTATGCAGCAACCTTATTTAAAGGGCTTCCCGCCACGTGACCAGGAATTGCGATGGGTTCCCATTTGACAAAATTACATACTTTATTAGTTTAGTAACGTAATACAAGCATATAATTACAACTAGACTTGAAATACTTATTTAAATCTTTTAATGGGCGGAAAATGCAAATGGACCTTCTAGTGCTGAACTTTTCATTCCATGAATACAAACAGAGATATTTTTATTTATATAGTAAGTGTTTTAAATTTGCTTCCTGACTGTCTTGAGATTCCAAATATAATACGACAATTTTTAAATAACTTCTGAATGAAAAATATGAAGGGACTTACATAAAGTGATATGGTTATTATATCATGTTTTTTCCAATAATAATTGCTTTGTAATTAAAGTATGTATCCGTAAGTAAGTATTTATAAAACAATGATTATAGTTCAAGATAAACAGACACTTATAAAGACACAAAGACAGACATGGAATGTAGAAGTTCAAAAAAGTAAGCGTATGTTAAATGCTGTCGTACTCATCGTAGTCGAACTCAGTGGCAGGAGTAGGCGCTAATAAATCTTGTTGGGGATTGGTTATCTTTTTATCATTTCTACATTTCTTATGTTTATGCTTCTTCTCTTTCTTTTCTGATTTTTCACTATAATCACCTCGATCTTTATCCTTTGATTTCTTCTTTTTGTGTTTTTTCTCCTTGAACAAAATAATATATTTAAGACTACAATTATTACAAAACAGATTTATCAGGAAATCTTTAAGTTTTACCTTTTCAACTGGCTCTTTAGCGGCGTCTGGGTCTTCGCCGCCTAAAAATAAGATAAGGAGTTAGCGACATTACTTCAGGCACATTAAAATATGATGTATGAGCCTAATTATGTGGCTGTAACGAATATCTAACCTTCAGGAGACCTTCTTGCGCTAGTGTCACCAGCCCAAAGTGGGAAATCATTATCCAATGGTATTTGTACGTCAATATGGCGGCTATTTTCAAAGATAGGAACAGCTCCTATATCTACACTATGGACGTCAACCTCCTCCTCCATTGAAACACGACTCATCATAGTATCAAGATTAACGTCATCTTGCTTTGTTCTTGTTAACTCTGTGGATAATTTTACCTCTGGCCGGTCATCCACTGGGGAAGAAACCTCGAAGTCCAAATCTTCCTGATCAATTGTCACCTTAGGATTAGTCGCATTCTCATCGTCACTGAAATCATGTTATTATTATTATTAATTATAGGTAATTATAGATTTCATGTTATATTTACTCAATCAATAATATTTTCTACCTTTCCGTGTCATAGATAACATCTTGGTTATGGCCTGATATTGCAGGAAGATCCTCCAAAAAGCTACTATCCAAAGTACCTGCATAAAACTCATCTAGACCCCCAGGCGATGCTGATACATTTACCCCAGATGGTGTGCCTTGTCCGCTAAACAAATATAAAGTTACATAAATACATGTACAGCAAATCTTTAATAAAAAAATAGCATTATTAATATGATCATTATTTACCTGTCTTGTTGAGGTTGTCGAGGAAGCGTCATTTCCATGCTTACTTGGTTTTTAGACCTTGTTAACTCAGAACTGACGTAGTGACTTTGTGTAACTTGACTCGGCGTTTTTATCCCATTGCCAGCCAGTGACTGCGCCAGCTTTAAATATATCCGATAGCATCAACGATACAATAAAATAAAATCAGCTTTTAATTAATAAAAGTAGAGTCTATTTTGCACTTCGCAATATTTCTCCAAATACTTCTAAACTTACGAGTGGGTTCACACTAGGTGGCACAATAGGTTTACCAGCACCAAGTACGATGCTTGGAGAGCGATCAGTGGCAGGCCGAGGTTCGGGCTGACCGGCACTTTGACGACGTTTGTTTGCAAGACGATCTACAAACAAATTATAGTGGGATTCTTCTGAATTCTGAAAATGATAAGTACTAGTATAATACATGCAATACATAATAACGTTGAAAATGTACCATCAAGCAAATGGTTTAAATGAGTGCCAATAAGCTCTTTGTTTCAAATTCATATTTCCAAAGTTGTACAAATGTGCACAGAATTCATTTATATGGACCTGAAAGTCATCAAGCTCTTTTTCGATCTCTTCTACATCTCTCTGGTTTCTCTGCAGTTGTTCTAATAAACTTGTTTTCTGGAGTCTCAAGAACGGCACACTAAGGAATTTGTGGAGTAAACGAAGTCCAAAACCATTTCTCATAGATGATTCAGCATACCTCACTGGTGCTGTTCTATAAAAAACAAATTTAATGAAATAAGTGCATTAGGAATTTTTATCTTTACTTGCAATAGGTGCAATACTTGTATGATACAAGTGTTGTAATTATAGCCCCATCAAACACCTCAGCATTGTTTACCAGTGACCAACAATTAGCACTGGATTTATCTTCAATGGTTTTCAGTCAGCAGTGAAGGCTTGATATTGTTATATTGCCAGTTAGTATTTATTTTTATTTACTTAAATATAAAAAGTAGAGCTTTTATTAACCTTATAAGTTTAGCATGATGAAGAGCTTGTTCAATATGATGTGGGTGGACTTGGCGATGATGCTGCATATCACAATGGTTTCCTAGTACCACAACAGGTAAATCGGCGGGCACTTGTGACAACTCCTTTACTACATAATCAAAGGTCCTAAAATATTTTTTTACATTATATAGTATAAATTAATAAGGTACTGTGAACAAATTCATTCTGAATAAATATTTATTCAGTTCAGGGTTCAGTAATTGAGCACCTAAAGAGAATCAAAATCCTAATTTTTGTAACTCAATCTATATTTTTATGTATACTATATTCATATTACAATATTGTTTTCTTCAATATTGTATCAATTATTGATGTAATTTATGTTTAAAATGTATATATGTGTAAATACAGGTTTGTCAGACATACATAAATTCAACTTTAGTTTTTTGTGGGTAGAATGTCATGTCACAGAAACTGGTTTTATAATTTTATTGATATTGCTTAGTTAGCAGTACAACATACCATGGTTTAGTAATATCAAGCATCAATATCACACCATTAGCATTTTTGTAAACATCTAAGAATGTGGCATCAAGAACTGGTGTTTCATAGCCATCCTCAGATGCTGCTGCAGCCGACTGGTTTTCGAGCTTAAGACCTAAAGGTGGTTTCTTCTTAGTTCGACCTTTATCTACCACTTCCCAAACTTCTACCTATAAATTAAAACAGGTTAATATAATGTTAAACTTTACTGTGACACTGGCATAATTTGAAATTTATTTATTTTACTTATCATTTATTGCACTAATAATAATTTGTTATGGTAATAATGGTAATAAAGCATGTTTTTGGTTAATATTTTTGTATTCTAAACTTTAGCTAGTACATAACTATTTTAATTGTTTCCAACTATTGTAAACAACAAATACTAAAATTGAATTTATAAACAAAGAGAAGATACTTTCACTCACTTTAACAATGTAATCGGTATTCTTATAAGTCCAATGAATTGGAGCAACTTGTATTTGATCAGTTGGTACGTAGTCTTCAATAAATGGTCCACCTTGCAGACGCTGCAATAAGCACGACTTACCAACGTTTCGATCGCCTTTTATCAGTATTTTCACTAAAATCAATAAAAGACACGTAATCATTTTTGGATATACAATTCTTTTAAGATTCAGTGCTGCAATAAGACCCTTACTATTAAAATGAACTCCTTTTGAAAATTTCTTCTGCAGAGAAGAAGACATTGGTAAAGGGGCTGGGCAGCGATCATCGCCACTTCTCGTTAGTTTTTTAAGAGCAGAAAACATTGTAAATTCTTTTATATATTACAATGTTAAATTAACACATAACATATAAATATAACACAAAAAAATATTAAGGAGCCGATATCAGCTGATGTTTAATAATAAAATAAAATTATACCGAAAAAACTACAATACAAAACACTACTATCGCGACATCAACATCGTCAACAACCATTGACAAGTGACATCTGTCAAGTGTCAACCATCAAAATTATTACCTCAATACTCTGCATCAAATCCACAGACCTACTTACTAAATCTATGATCAAATCAAACCAATGATTTCAGATTAAAAGCGGACGGCAAGAGGTCGCCATTTTATTTTCCGTGTTTCTGTTGTAGGTTCAGGGCCGTCACACTTAGAGCCATTGACAGCTTAAAAAATCGGACCGTCAACTACATCTAGTTTTCGAACCTGAAATTAAATGTTGTCAAAACTAATATTTTCAGTGGCCACACAGTTCCAAGCAAGGTTGCAACATTATTTTAAAATTTAGGCTTAAAATAATATTTTTTGGAAATAGTAAAATAACATTATACACATTTATTTAATACTATATTGCATTTTTTACAAAATAATTCCTTAAACTTAGATCAAATGACAGTTATGCTGGCATAATCGATCAAAGATGACAGCCTCTTTACTAATAATAGAGATTGAAAAGATGAAATGTCAAGTGATGGATGACAAACTAAACTCTATGAAGTGACTGCGTCAGGTTTCTGCATCCAAAAGCATTAACCTAAGAGCCTGTGAACCTCAGGTTTAGGCCACCGTTTTTATTATATAAAAACTAATATTATATGAAAATACTGAATTTTAATAGTAAATCTATAAAATAGGTTGCACGCATTCTTTCTGTCTCTCTATCACACACACACACGTACCTACTTAATCTTTCTCGATAAATGCACTAACTCTATTTCGTTCAGTCATCATCTCTGATTTACAATTTGACAGCACCATCATTTTCACCACCCTCGAGAACCATGAAAACGACACCTATAACGATAAATTGAAAATATCGTGCAGCCGCCATCTTGGATTTGCATTTTGACAGCACCATCTTTGTTACCACCCTCGAAAACCATGAAGACGATACTCATGACAATAAATTCAAAATTTTGTGCAGACGCCATCTTGGATTTACATTTTGACAACACCATCGGCTTTATCACCCTCGAAAACCATGAAAACGACACCCATGACGATAAATTGAAAACTTCGTACAGCCGCCATCTTGGATTTGCATTTTGACAGCACCATCGGCTTTATCACCCTCGAAAACCATGAGAACGATACCCATTACGATACATTCAAAATTTTGCGCAGACGCCATCTTGGATTTACATTTTGACAACACCATCGGTTTTATCACCCCCGAAAACCATGAGAACGACACCCATGACGATATATTCAAAATTTTGTGCAGACGCCATCTTGGATTTACATTTTGACAACACCATCGGTTTTATCACCCTCGAAAACCATGAAAAGGACACCCATGACGATAAATTGAAAAATTTTGTGCGCACGTCATCTTGGATTTACAATTTGACAGGACCATCGGCTTTATCACCCTCGAAAACCATGAAAACGACACCCACGATAAATTCAAAATTTTGTGCAGACGTTAGCCCTGTTCATTTCCATTTGCTGATTTACTTTATCCAAGTTTTCGAAGATATTATTCATAATAGCTAGTCATTAATTGATTAATTACTAGTCATTACGAATAATATCAAATTAATCACTTTGGCTGTAACATATGTATATACATTTAGGTCACACTGATACTCCTTTTTTAAAGTCGGTTAAAAAAGAATCATCAAAATACGTTAAAAAACGACGAAGTCATCCCTGAAGGAACATAAAAAAACCTTATAGGTATATAACTTTTCCTTTTTTTTAAGTCCGTTATAAATAACAAAGGTCTGGGGTTCGTAGCCTCTTGTACTATATGGATTGTCAAATTATTATTTTTTACGGGGGCTAAAAAAATATTAAAACATTACAATAATAATTTTCCCAATTTTTTAGATAATACATAACTATTAAAATAATATTGTTAATAATTAGATATTGATATCAAATACTTTTTTTATATTATCTCCTTATTTCTATAAAATAGTATGCATGTAGTTTGTACTATTTTAATACTGGCATATAATATGTATACTTTTTGCTTGATAAAGAAAAGAAACAAAAACAAAAATTTGAAATGTCAAAATTGTAAAAAATTTTGCCAAAAATATTTTAAATTATTTAATAATTTGTCATGAGATTTTGTGATTGTTTTTCTAAAAAAGGAAGTTCTGCGATGCGTGTTGTGTTTTCTATAAAGGACCTTTTGTATACATGTGTATCACAAATCACAAAAGTACATTGTGTTTGTTTGTCTATTCATTGGACTTGATTTTACAAAGGAACGCTTTAATTTGCGTATATATCTCATTTATAATAAAGAACATCAATACGAAGAATACAATCATGTTGCTGAAGGTAAAACCTACAACAAGTTTATGATTTTTGCTATTGAACCTATTTATACATTTTATTTGATTCATTGAGATACCAAACTATGTAGTTTTTATATATTTCTACTTTTTCTTTTGTATATTTGTTACAGTGATATTTGGAATTGCTATTGCATCGATATTACTTCAGCATCATCATTGCAGAATATCAATAGTGCAATTTTTTATCGGCAGTTACGAGTCTTACGATGTCCGGATAAAGTGCCGATCTATACCAGCAGTGCTTGAAACCTATTTTAGAGATGGTAAATACTATATTATTCTTGTAACATCAGTAATATCACGTAAGGTACACCTACCTTAGATAAATAAAAGAAAACAAATAAATTAAATACATATTTCTGCATGTAAAAATAATCTTTGTTTTTTTTTTCAGGTACTATTTGGAATTATTCTAACATTCAGACGTATATTATTGTCTCAAGAAACAAGAAACCCATAGATCGCTGCAAATATTAAAGCCGTATTATTTTTGTAAAACTATTTTTATCTTTGTATTAATGTATATATCATAATTAGAACAACATTTTAAGTATCTACGCACAACAAAGTAATATTAAATTATAAATAAAAAAAATAGGTACATATTCACATCTAAAAAAAATGTTACCTTAGGGCATCAAAAAATTATTTTTCATCGCTATCGTGGAGTAGGGTGCCCAAAAGACTGGCAGCATTATCGGAATCTGGAATGTATGTGACGAAAACTGTGTCTCGTACTTTGCTAAGAATGATTATTGTGTGAATGGTGGCTAATGTCTATTTATGTTTCTAGTTTGTCTGTGTATCTGCTGAGGCTTTTGGCTAGTACCTACTCCTGTGGCTCCAATTACTATAGAATTAACATGCGTTTCAATATTTCAAGGCGTCTAGCCTTGAGTTGTGTCTTTAAAAAGTGGTATTTACTGAATTTCTTTTGCTCCTATGTTGTAGTTACATGGTACAGTTATGTCAAAGAGGTATGTGGTGTTGGATGTTTTGTTTGTGTATATTATGTCCGGTCTGTTGTGGGCAACTGTGAAGTCTGTCTGAATTGGGATTTCCCACATTATTTTGCCTGTTTCATTTTCATTTGTATTTATAATAATAATATTACTTTGTTTCATTATAATGTTATAAAAATATTATATTTGAGGATAGGAAAAATCTGTAGTTGTTTAGTAAAAATGACTGTAATATAACTAGATATAGGAAACGACTAAGTCAGGCATTTATTAGCAACTAGCAAAACAAAGTACTAAAAAACTGAGACTGACTGAGAGGCAGACTGAGACTTATTTTTAAGCACTATATTTTTCGACATTATAATAATAAGTGCGACTGCCGGGCAAGGGGTCTCGGGTTCGATACCCGGGTCGGGCAAAGTATTACTGGGTTTTAAAAAATCTCAGTAGTAGAGTAGTCTGGAAATGTGCCCGGTATATGGCAATAGGCTCACCCCCTATTACATGGGACTTATAACATAAATAGTGAAAAGTGGGTGTTACATTGTACAGTGGCATTGAGTGCCGAAATGTGCACCTCTGCCTACCCCTTCGGGGATAAAAAGGCGTGATGTTATGTATGTTATGTTATGTAAATTGTATAATAATTTTGTGTTTTTGTAAATACTGTAAGCGATTCAAATCGATGGTAAAATGTACTACATTTGTGTAGGTATTACGGTTTATTTTATTATTAGATTGTTAACTACTGTTAGGTACTGTGTAAACAACGGTGAACAGTAAATATTTTTAATTTTAGTTCTTTGTGGGATCAATAATTAAAAAAATAACTAATTCAAATAAATTTTGAACGACATATTTATATCTGAAATTTGTAAACATAAAATTAAAAAGAACTAAAATTTGAATTATACTTTGAACAAATCTGTCGTCTGATATTTCCCTACTAGCTGATAATTTTTAAATGTTAATTTGTATTTATTGTAAAATAAATGTAATATTGTAATTAATAACTTCTTTGATTTTGCAGCTACCAGACATAGCTAATTCCAATACTACCTTCAATGTACCAACCTGCAAGGTGCATTGTTGGTAGTATTGGCATTAGCTATACTTAGGATTATCTGTAGACATTAGTAAAAAAAAAATATACTAGGATTCAATTTTCAGATGGCGTTTCAAATTGATTGGCATAAATTTTTGACGAGTGGCAACTCTTTACCCCTATACTTATTATACTCTTTGTGTAGGTTCGTCAGATGTGTTGTACGTAAAACGTCAGATTCATTGGAGGTTATCAGAAAAATTGAATTTACGGAATGATTTAGTGCTGTTGTTTCATTTAAAAGTAACTTTGTACTACACTGAATAATGCCTAAGTTGGTGTTACAGGCCGTGGCACGTAATACGGCTGTAAATCATATCTGTAATCAAAGTAATCATAAGTAATCATATGTAAGTCATATCTATTTACAGAAAAAAATATTTTCTGGTATCCCAATGATCTTTTTAATGTAAAAT